CATTTATTTGATGAAAATACAGTAAAAACAGTAATATTTTGAAACATTATCTCTGTTTTAAATAACTGTCTTCTATTTGAATATATTTTAAAATGTCATTTATTCCTGTGATGGCAAATTACTCCAGTTTTCGGTGTCACATGATCCTTTAGAAATCATTCTAATATGCTGATTTGCAGCTCAAGAAACATCTCTTATTATTATCAATGTTGAAAACAGTTGTGCTGCTTAATATTTTTGTGTAAGTGGTGATTTAATGCACACTGACCCCAAACTTAGAAGAATACTGGATAGTGTATCCAGCTATGTAAATTATGGATTTACAGTTATTTTCTTTTACCCATTTTTATAGAAAACATACAAATTATTTTATGGGTTGGGTGTTTTCCTTTTTCTCTCTTTTTTTTCCATCTTTGACAGAATGTGAATGAATTGTAACAATGCAATTCAGGATGGCGCATCTCTGACACCCTCCCACCCACCTGCTGCTCAGTTTTTAGTTTATCTTCAGTAATCGAAAGGGTTCGTTTCTGTTTAGCTGAGAAATGAGAAACTTCAACCTTATTATTTTCGGTAATTAAGTCGAACCTTCTTTTCAATCTATCACACTGAAGTAATCACCTGATTTCATTCAGTTTCACAGGAAAGAGGATTTTTCACAGCACACACCTGCTGTCGGGTCGATAATTAGTCTTGTGTAAGAAAATAAATGAGTGCTGGAAGTAAAGACACCATTCTAACCGTAGAAATCAAGACATGGGGCAGACAAAATGTATTGCTTGTCACTATCTGCTTTTTTTTTAAATTGAAGGGTGATTTAAATTTCAGATGAATTAAAAAGCTGCATTAAATAAATTAAGCATTACGTAGATTGCAAAATCTCTCTGATTATCCTTTCCAGCTTAAATAACTCAGGTGCTTTCTAAGCAGTCAAAAGCTGCTTTGGTGACATATGTTGCATATGAAAATAAAGTACAGGAAAGATTACTTGGGTAAGATTATGCAACCAATGATTCCTCAGACCGGAGAGTTATTTAACCTGTTAACTTTCAAAACCCCCTTTTTGAGCATAGAGCTAAACTTAAATGGTTGTAATTTATGAATGCTTTGGAATACAGCCTTAAGGTTGGTCTCTTTTTAAAGACACTCAGCAAAGTGCAGAAGTGAAAGCACTCCAAAAATTGAAAAGTGTACAGAAGTTGTAGAAGTTTACAAATGTGAACTAAACTTTATTTTATACAAAATATATATTACAAAATAATGTGGACTCTAATTTCTAGAAAATCAAAGCCATATATCTAATCAAAATTGTGCTCCAAATTTGAAGTTGATATCACAAATATTGAGCCAGCTAAAAGGATTTAAAGTACCTTTTTCCATGGTAACACAATGTCCAATTTTCACAGAACGAATTTAGAATGTTTAAGCTTTGGAATGATACATAATTTATGATGATTACTAAAATATGAGATTGGGAAAAAAACAAAATTGCATTAAAAAAGGTTACATTACTGGGACACTGACAGTCAACAGTCCGTGCAATTAATGCATTTGAGGGGGTTTTATAAAAATCTGTTTTATAAAGAACAATGTAAAAAATATTATTATGGAAAAGTTTTTTAAATGCTTTTGAAATACTTATCAAATTGTTTTCTAAAGTTATGAAAGTCACATGACAAATATAATTTTGCTAATAGATCATTTGAATATTTCTGCTTAACACTCCTTTTGGAAATGATCAAATTTACATTTACATTTACATTTAGTCATTTAGCAGACGCTTTTATCCAAAGCAACTTACAACTGAGGACTAAACCAAGCGAGTCATCGTGAAGAGGCAAAAACAACGCAAGAAGTGCTCAAAATACAAAGTTCAGACATAGTTTGGAGTAGCATAAGCCAGGCAAGCGAGGATTTAGAGGAAAGGATTTTTTTTTATTTTTTTTATTTTTTATTTTTTATGTTAAGTGCTCCCGGAAGAGATGAGTTTTCAGTTGTCTTTTGAATGCTGTCAGGGATTCTGCATTCCGGATGAGGGTGGGGAGATCATTCCACCAGCATGGAACCGTGAATGAGAATGTTCTGGAGAGTGATTTTGTGCCCCGCTGACCGCTGTGATGGTACCACGAGCCGTCGCTCATTGACCGATCGTAGGCTTCTGGTAGGGATGTAGACTTGTAGTAGTGAGTGGAAGTAGGAGGGAGCTGAACCTGTGGTCAATCTGTAAGCAAGCGTCAAAGCCTTGAACTTGATGCGAGCAGCGAGTGGTAGCCAGTGCAGAGAGATGAACAGAGGAGTGACGTGGGCCCTTTTGGGCTCGTTGAAGACCAGACGAGCAGCAGCATTCTGGATCATTTGTAGAGGTTTAGTTGCACATGATGGAAGTCCAGCCAGAAGAGCATTGCAGTAATCAAGCCTAGAAATGACCAGGGCCTGGATGAGAAGTTGTGTTGCATGCTCAGTTAGGAAAGGCCTGATCTTCCTGATGTTGTGCATAGCAAACCTGCATGATCGAGCTGTCTTTGTAATGTGGTCTGTGAAGGTCAGCTGATCATCAAAGATTACTCCAAGATTTCTGACCGACCTTGATGGGGTGATTGAGGAAGAATCTAGCTGGATAGTGAGGTCGTGCTGTAGAGACTGATTGGCAGGGAGGACGAGAAGCTCAGTCTTTGCCAGGTTGAGCTGCAGGTGATGTTCCTTCATCCATGCCGAGATGTCCGCCAGACAGCTTGAGATCCGTACAGCTACTGTGGGATCATCTGGTTGAAATGAGAGGTAGAGCTGTGTGTCATCAGCATAGCAATGGTAAGAGAAACCATGTGCCTGTATGATGGGTCCCAGTGATGTGGTGTAAATGGAGAAGAGGAGCGGTCCGAGAACTGAACCCTGAGGAACCCCTGTGGTCAGTTGATGTGCTTTGGATACCTCACCTCTCCATGTGACCTTGAAGGACCTACCTGTGAGATAGGACTCAAACCAGTTGAGGGAGGTTCCAGTGATGCCCAGTGATGAGAGGGCGGACAAGAGGATCTGATGATTCACAGTGTCGAAGGCAGCAGACAGGTCCAGTAGAATGCTGTGTTCAAATGCTGTGAAGAGAATGTAAGTGGGTCAGATGCATTCCCGGTGAGGTTGCTGAGAGAGGGAAAGGCTTCAAATGCTGTGAAGAGAATGTTAGTGGGTCAGATGCATTCCGGGTGAGGTTGCTGAGAGAGGGAAAGGCTTTTTCTCTTAAAGAGCGTGGGATTCGGGATCCTTGCCAGTAATATCAGGAGAGTTGATATCCTGTTCAGCTTTAGCATTTCCTTGACATTGCTGCTGTTTTATTTGCTAGGTCAATGACAGGAACAGAGCGGGGCTGGAAATATATCATTCAGAATGAGCATAGCATGTCAAATCAGGATGTTATTATTCCTCTCTCTTCCTCAAATGCCAGTTCAATAAGATATATGCATGTCCTGGTGTGAATTAATGATGGCCACATTATGAATTAGTATTCTTGTCGTTTCTGTTCTCACTTTCACTCTTTCTCTCTTCATTCTCACACTGGCAAGCTGTGGTGACACACTGAGCTGATTATGAGTTTGCTGCATGTGCAGCGGTTACAGCAATGCATTTTTGTTCTCTTTTACTTAATAAACCAGCTTCTTTTCCTGCCTTCTTCTTCTGTTCTGCACTATCACTCCATTTATCTATCTCTTAATAAATCTCTTACTTAATCAATCAGCTTCTTTTCCTACCTTCTTCTTTCTGTTCCCCACTATCACTCCATTTATCTTATCCATAATCCATACTTGACAAATACAATCCGACATCATGATATAATTAACTCATAAATTCTATGCTGTTCGTATTTCCAGGGGCTGTTTTGGATCTGTAATGCATTTACAGAAAATGAATCCTTTCAATCAGATCTCAATTACTCTCAATGAGCCGATAAGAATCTTTGACCATCTCTGAGTTAAAAAAAGAGAAAAGTTAACGCTGGTTTGGGTTTCAATAAATTAAACTGCATTGTCTATCTTTTATTATTATAAAATTGAGTTCCTCAACAGTTTCGAAAGCCCCTTTTGCTCTACTCATATACAGTTTAGCTTTCAGTTTGCCCCTGCCTTACACGTCTTCTTTTGGCATTAATGACTGTTTAAATTACTCTAGCAATTGGAGTACTTTAATTTGTTGAAATCTGTTACCAGATCAGAGAGCAGAGATAGTTGTTACAGTCTAATTATGATACATTTTGTACAATATAATGTTGTTGCCACAGGAAATGTCCACACTAAAAGGTTTTACAGCATATGATTCTGGAAGAGGCCATTTAAATATGTGAGAAGTTGTTGCCACAGCTGCCAATGTCAGTAAAAGTCAAATGTAATGGCCATAAATATTTGTTGCCTTAATAATGTCCACAAACTGTATTTTGTGTTATATTTTAATTAAATTATTTAATTAAAATGTTGATTGTTTTATTTAATTTAATTTAATTGTTTTTATTTCTTTATTTGCAGGATTTCCGCTAAATGTACATGAATAAGATATATTGTGATTTTATTCCTCGTATATTCATTTTAGTGGTTTGATGTGATGAATAGCCCACAAATTCTACATGGAGTTTTGGAGAGAGAGAAAAAAACTTTAGACATCCTAGATAGTAAAGTCCAGTCAAAGTTTATTTATACAATACATTCAAAAGCAAAAGAAGGTGACCCAAAGTGCTGCACAAATATATATGTGTATAAAATATATAACCTATCAAATTCAAACTACAAACTTATAATGTTTCAGTTCCTAAATTACCAGCCAACCAGCAAGTGTGTCCTAGTTTCCTTATTAACTGCTTAAAATTTGAGAATTCTTAATATTTTCTTCCTCCAGTTAATATTTAATATTAGTTCAAATATTCTCTCCTCCGGTTCTGATTTATAAAATTCAATAAAAAGTTCATTCCCCCACATCCACACACATTCTTACTCTCTTTCTGCTTTTTTTCCCCCTAGTCTGAAATCAGTTCTTTCAAGCACTCCATCCAGTGGGGCATTAGACCTGTCTGGCATCCCTCTTGGAGTGAAAGACATGGAGCGTCTCTGTGCCTACCTTCATCACCACGCGTCCCGCATCGGCAGCATAGAGCTGGGCTTCACCGAGCTCACAGACGATGCCTTCCTCCTGCTCCTCCCCACGCTGGCGTCCCTTCCCCGCCTCGAGACTCTGGCCCTCAATGGCAACAGGCTGACCCGTGCAGTGCTCAAAGAGCTCACGGACACGCTGAAGGACCCGGACAGCTTCCCCAGCGTCACCTGGATCGACCTGGGGAACAACGTGGACATCTTCTCCCTCCCACAACCGTTTCTGGTGAGCCTGCGCAAGCGCTGCCCCAAAAAAGGCAACCTCCCCACCATCCTGGAGTTCGGCGAGAGCCAGGCCAGCGAGCCGGAGGGCAGAGTGGATGAGGACGACGCCGATGATACGAACAGGACAGAGAGCATGGGAGAGCTCAGATCTGAGGTAGAAGAAGAGATTGACGGTGAAATGGAGATCGAGGACATGATGGAGGAGTTGCTGGACTTTGACAGGGAGGTGCAGGGCAAGGAGGAAGAGGAAGACAGTTTGTGGACCTTGGAGGAGCAGCGGTTGGTAAAAGATCCGGTCGCAAAGTGGAGCAAAGAGAAGAGGCCGCCCAAAGCAGAGGGTGAAGAGTACTTTCAAAGCCAGTCTTCCCATCTGTCTTGCTCCAGTCCGTCACAACACTCCTCTGGAGCCATTGAGCCTTTAAGAGAAGACTCTGTCCCTGACCAGTTAGCATGTGATTCGTACAACCCTACCTGATTAAAGCCACTGTCTAATTTGGTTAGAGGCTATAACCTTAGTCCCTTTAAGAAAAAGAGAGTGCAAGGAAGAGTGTGACAGGCTTGTTTTCAGACTGGGTTGTCCAAGAAGTCATGTGATTCTGCAGGTTTTATAGGTTTAACAATCGTTGCGGTTGTCTGTTGTTGCAAAGGAGAAATGAATTACTTATGAGGTACAAAAATATCAAATATACTTTCTCATTCAGGTTTTCCCCTTCACTGTCATAACCATGAACCTCTGTGCCTATGTGCCTGTTCAAAACCCTGCTGGAGAGGCATGTGTGTAGATGTGATCAGTTTTAACATGCTGGATATAAGCAGATTGGCTTGGGTTTCGTGAATCAATGTAACCATATATGCATCTGATTGTTGCAAGCATCACATTTTCTCCTGCAGTGGAAAACAACCTAAATTCTATTCAGTATCCCCCAGACGTGAATATGCATGTCCCGGGTGTCAGGTGGATGGGACGCAGATGAGATCATTTTAAGTGCCCCTAATTTATACAGTGGAAAACCAAAATCTCTTGTCACAGTGTTGGCCCAAAATCAACGTGTTTGTATGATACAGAGCAGCGGGACTTAAGCCAAAGAGAAAAGACTCGCTATACAGAACAAAGTGTCGATTGGCTACACAGTATAATGCTGATAATCTGTTTTTGTTACTTGACATGGATTTTGAAGACTATGTGTGGTTTCTTAGCTCTATTCTTTAGAAGAGAACCTTTAACCACTAAAATGATATTGTTTCATTTTTATTTATCCACTGTTTTTAAAAAATAAAGGTATTTCATTGTATAAACATCTATTTAGTGCCTAATTGGAATTTTACATTATTCAAAGTAGTTCTGATATGCCAGTAAATTAAAGTATTGTTTTAATGACAGTGTATATTGAATTGTCATAATGGATTTTTCTTTGTTTTATGTATTTAAAATTCCCTAATTGAGAATTAGGATTTATATTATATCCATTTACTAGTACTTTGTACTAGTACAATTTACTAGTACTTTGTATAATATCATAATATGCTTACCTGCAAAATCGTGTTCAGTGTTTTTTTTAAGTAGAATTAAGCTCCCACCCCAAATAATGGTTTATAACATAAATTATTAAAGGAAGCTCCTGTAACTAATCTATTTCAGATTATCATGTCATTTTATGATCACCAGGTAGCCTACAATTATCCTGCTGTGTTTCAAAGCCATAACATCTTGACAAGTTGTGCCATTACAGAGTGATAAATATAAAAGTGCACTGAAGAGCTGTTCATTGACTTTGTTAGTATTTCTGTAAAGCAAGGAGAATAGGAACGACAAACAGCAATAGGTGTGTAAGATTATTTGTAAACAAAATGTATTTGACTGTTGGCATCAAAACCAATAAACCTTTAACAATTATACACTTCATTTATGCGTTAAACAGCACATACAATGTTGGGCTGTTGGCACTGTGGTAAATTGAACGAGTCTGGTGGAAAGGACTATAAACTTTTAGTTATCGATGTCGACATCTAGTGGTTGGTAATTCTCTAGTGCATGGACTCGCTTGTTTTATGCATAGGTTTTATGTAAACGACCGTGTTTGCGTACTTCCGTTTCAACGACCTTTGACTAAATTAGCGAATGAGGCTATAAATAATAAGTAAATTTGTTTAAGAAAATAAGAATGGACCAGCGAGGCCAGAAATACGGTTTAGACGGCTGGATAATCATTTTCTAACTCTTGTTTTTTAACATGGTAGTTGGTTTCTAGCTAATCATTAGCTGATAAGTTAGTAGAGCATCTTAGACCAGCAACAAACCAGATGTTTATTGAGGTGGTTATGGTACTGTAACTGGTCAGCCAGCTATGATCAGCACAAGCTGATGAGCTTGGACTAGTTAATGACCAGTTTGGACTATAAGCCAGCTACTGTTCTAAACTGGATTTTTTTTTATATTGTATTTTATATTGTGTTTTAGTGAAATTTGGATTATTGATAGTAAGAAAGCATTAATCATGTGAATGTAAAGATGTAAAAATGATATAATACATAATATACTTCTTGTAAATAAATGTTATACTTAATTAAAACGAAACGAGGTATGTTCTTATGGGCAAATCACAAACCACAAATTAAATAATAATAAAAAATAAAAAAAGTATTTACAACAGCCAATGAAACGGTAGAATAATACGGGCTATGGCCTCATTTTTAACATCGACCGCATCAATATGGCTACTTATAGGCCCCACCTGAATTGACTGTTATTGCATCACTTCCGGGAAATAAGGTCAAAAATTGTTTCCCTTGTCCGCCATTTGAAATATTTGAACTTCCTTGTGACAACTTCCAATGTACGTTTTGGTTTACACTAAACAATTAGCAGGGGATCTGAGCGAATAGTCTCAGTTTTTGCGTCTCATGCACGTTGGGATTCCGGCGTCAGTAGTTTTTTAATCCGATTGGAACAAAAAAGCGTAGAAAAGTGTGCGAATGCTGCGCGTATGCGAAACGTGTTCAACAACGGAACGCGGTAAAGTTTTTGCATGAGTTGAACGCTGCTTGCGGATAAGGAGAGGCGAAGGGAAGGCCTGTGAAGCCTTGGCTTTTTTCTTGCGCTAGTCATGGCCGGAAATTTTGATTCGGAAGACCGAGGGAGCTGGTATTGGGGGAGATTAAGCCGGCAAGAGGCGGTTTCGCTGCTCCAAGGGCAGAGGCATGGAGTGTTCCTGGTGCGGGACTCGATCACTATTCCCGGGGACTACGTGCTGTCTGTGTCGGAGAACTCCAAAGTCTCTCATTACATAATAAACAGCATCAGCAGCAATCGCCAGTCCGGACCAGGTAAGTTAAGCAGTGCATCTAAAAATACTAAAAACGACGGGACGAATAAATACTGCTTTAGCAAAACGCTTAGCAGCCCAATTAGAAACTTGTGTACTTCTGTACTATGAATAGTTGGCACATTCAGTGTAATTTTTCGCGTCAATCTAGTATTACGTTGTATTGTAATTTAGTGTGTTCTTTAAGACGTTTACACAAACAGAAATCAGTCATTTTTCTTATATAACTGTATTTTTGGTTCAGTCATTCAGATAATATAGTCGTTTTACTGTAGCAGCTAAGTACTAGTGTGAATCAATGTGTGTGTATTATATATATATATATATATATATATATATATATATATATATATATATATATGAGAGAAAAAACACTAACTTTTGTTTGCAGATGCTCAATCAGCAATGCTGAATTTAAAAATTATTATACAGCTTTTCTGATTTGAGCCAAAAAAAAAGTGTGGTATTTTCGAAAATAGAGACCATTATACAACAATATTAATCATCACTTCCACTGTTTACCAAGACTAAATTAAGGTAAAGCAGATCTTGATCGTCCATCCATCATAATGTGCTCTCTTGCTGTCATCCCGCAGGACTTGCTCCTCCTCGGTTCCGTATTGGAGATCAGGAATTTGATGCCTTACCTGCCCTGTTGGAGTTCTATAAGATTCACTACCTGGATACCACCACTCTCATTGAGCCCATTAGCAAAGCCAAGCACTCGTCCTTTATCAGCGTCAATGCGGGAACGGGAGGAGTTCCTCAGAGGCTTGAAGAGGAGTTCGTCCGAGCTCTCTTCGACTTCCCCGGCAACGACGACGAGGACCTTCCGTTTCGAAAGGGCGATATTCTCCGAGTACTGGAGAAGCCGGAGGAGCAGTGGTGGAACGCTCAGAATTCTGAAAGCCGTGTCGGCATGATCCCTGTGCCCTACGTGGAGAAGTACCGCCCGGCCTCGCCAACATCAGGGGCCCCTGGGGGGTCTGTTGGAGGATCCGCTGCTCACGGCAACTCTGACGGCCACAGCTCTCAGTCTCCACCTCTGCTTGGTGAACCGGGCCAGTATGCCCAGCCCACATCCTTACCCAATCTACAGAATGGTCCGGTTTATGCCAGGGCGATTCAGAAGAGAGTTCCCAATGCCTATGATAAAACGGCTCTTGCTTTGGAGGTAAAAGATGTAGTTATTTTTAATTTACAACATTGTATTAAACAGACACACAGATTACTTGTTTTGTATGTTAAAAACATCTGCATTTATATTACATTTTGAGAAATATTTTTTTTGTTTTGGCGCCTCCCAGTGGAACTGTAATTCTCTGTTTAAGTCTGTTTTGTACATTACATTTGCAAAGTAATTCCTCCACTTCTAACACTTGGTCTTTTGTCTTGTGTTGTTAGGTTGGCGACATGGTGAAGGTGACCAAGATCAATGTAAACGGGCAGTGGGAGGGTGAGTGCAAGGGAAAGCATGGCCATTTTCCCTTTACCCATGTCCGCTTGCTGGACCAGCACAATCCAGAGGACGAACTGAGCTGAGAGAGCAGACTGTCTTCCCTAGCAGCCCTTAGATGTACACTCATTCACACACATACACACACTCCGGCTCCTCACACATCCTCACTACTGCCCTTAACCTGTCCGCCTCATCATTACCTTGTGCCATTGTGTCTCATGCCAATGTACACAGTACCTGCAACAATTCCCTTGTTAGATTTTATGCAATAATTGAAGATATTTACCAAGTAAACACTAAATTCCACACACAACACCATACACTACAGAGCGAGGAGCATTAGTGTGTGGCTTCTTGTGAACTGCGAAAAGAGGAAGAGCCTGCTTGGACTTAAAACATGAGCGGTTTGGTGTCTTAACAAGGGACTGTTCCTTTGCTTCTTTGAATGCGGTAGCATACACTACTTAGTGTCCTAGAACACAACAGCTTTTTACACTACAAATCATCTACTACATGAAAATATTCAGAAATGCAGATCGAACATGCTTTGAATAGTCTTTTTGATTGGTTTGTCAGTCACTACTGGCTCAGCGCCAGTCAGACGGATGGGGCGGCACACTATATAAAAGATGGAGTAGCCCGAACCCTCACCGCATTTCGTTTTATTTATGCACAACATTTCTAATGTATACAAAATGGGCCATGTATCATTATTCACTACCGCTAAATAACTGTTTTACTACATTTTCATTATATATTATCAGGAAACGCTACTTGCTCCTTTGACCATTATTGCTGTACTTGGAAGTATTACACTAAATGCGGTTTTGTTGAATGTGTAACCGTAATTTCTAATGCTAGACTCAATACGTCAATATAAGATAGACTAAATAGACTTTTGTTGTTGTTTTTAAATAAAAATCCAACATTGTGACTTTTCCACTCAAATTAACTAGTGTTTTTGCCAGAACTTCCCTTGCCAAAGTTGAAAATACAATGAGTGGTTCTTGTAGTGCCTCTCTTATATGTTGTGGCCCAAAACTGCTTTAATATTAGATCTAGATATTTCTAAAAACAACCCAGTTATCTTTACAATAACCTAGTAGGATTTAATGAAGTGTCACATTAATGTGCAAAGCCTAACCTGATGCCTCAAATGTGTTTTGCTCAATTGATTTTGCACATACGAGCAGTCTTTATCTACTATCGGTTCATCTGGCTATTGACCTTTTTTTAACCATCAGCCTCCATCATGCCTGTATTATCTATTTCAATGCAGAAACTGTGTATTTTGTTCTTTAATGCCCAAGAAAGACATTGTTTTGCTAATTGCCTGCCTTAATTGCAGTTGTTGTCAATGACCAAATCAGCATCGTCTTTAGCCTAAATTGTTGAATGCATAATGCGGGGAAAAGTGGAGTATGTTTTGTTCAACCTTGTAGAAATGTTTCTTTTAACCTGCTTCCATTACTATTGACTGTATGAGAGAATAGAAATCGAATATCTGTGGACAA